AGGAGCGACTACAGCAGCTCAAGGGGAAGTAGGCAAGCAACAGGTCGAAGGGGTCCTTGTCGCGACTAGACTTGACCCGTCAGTATTGAATCATTTAGGACAACTACCAAACCATTTACGGCTGATGGTTTACACGCTTTTAGAATGCCAACTCGCCATAACCTTTGACAGGTTCGTGGATTCTCGACCTACTAATCTGGTTGCCACTGCACTTTAGATGCAAAGTCAGGTAAAATTACTTGTTTTCTTTGAAAACTCTTTCATATAAGTCGATCTTTTAGTTTTTTAAGAAAAAACTAACTCTTTATTCCTTTCCATGTAGTCTTTGCTTGCCCTGAATGTGGCCCACAATAAGATGAAGATCAAATATGCTAGCAAACTCCATGACATGAAAAAGGAAATTGCCAAACTAAAGCAAGATCTTGCAGCTTCAGATGAAGAAGCAAAGGCCGCCCACATTCAGACGAATGTATATCTGACTGAAAGGAATTCCGCTATGTGAGCAGCAAACTTCCAAAAGATCGAGCTCGAGAAGAAAGATAGTGACAATTAAGAGCTCCAACGAACAATAGCGAGGCTCACTAAAAAGTTCAGCCAAAGAGAAAAGGAGCTGTAAGCGAATTCAGAGCGTGAAAAAGTAACAAAAAAGACTCGAGCTGAGTTATGGGAAAACTCATAGAAAGAGAAGAATGCACTGCAAACAAACCTTAAGTTGGCTCATGGGCGAATCACTTTGCTGACCAAGCAAATAGGGCAACAGAACCTCGAAATGGAAAGGAAGGCTGCTCACTGGGCACTGCAAGCTATTTATAGCTTGTGGCCAAACAATCCTAACATGGATATCTCCGACCTCCCCCAGGGAATACCAAGTTACTCTCGCTTCTATGGTCAAGGCTAATAAGCAAGAAGAACAAGAGCCTGCCCCAGAGAACGATCAGCAGGAAGCAGAAGTCCCTAAGGATCAAGCAGACAACCTAGAGTTTGGGATCAACCGGACGATCTAGAGGTCGAAGTGGCTGGAGTCAAGGATTCAGGTGATCGAGACCAGTGATTGTCCTTTCTTGTACTTAGAACATAGTCTTTTTATGCTTTTTTTTTTTTTTTTTTTTTTTTTTTTTTTGTATTTTTTTTTTTTTTTTTTTTTTCATTTTTTAAATATATAAAAATGAATTTTTGACCAATTGTGATAGCACTTTTATAACTTAAGTACTTCACAAAACAAATGTAGCATATCCAATCATAAAACTTGTAAAACGTTATAAATAACAAGATTATTAAAAACTTGAGATTACGACACAAGTAATTCTTTGAGAAGAATTTGAATAATCTTATTCATAGTATTTACAACAATGAAAACTTTACAAGTAAAAAATGATCAAGCTATAAGCGAGTTCGGAATTACTGATAATAGGGGCGAAGATGCTCAGCATTCCAAGCTCGCGGTACTTCAAAACCATTAAGCATTTTGAGGTGATACATTCCAGGTCATATCACCGTAGCGACACGATATGGGCCTTCCCAGTTAGGTCCCAATACCCCAGCACTTGGTTCTCTTGTACCAAGAAAGACTTTTTTTAACACCAGATCGCCAATCTGGAAGTCTCTTTTTCTGACTTTAGAGTCCAAGAATCTTTTTGCCTGCTACTATAGGAAGTGATCCTTAACCGAGCCTTGTTGCGGTATTTTTCAACTAAGACCAAACTTGCATATAAGAGTGCTTCATTGTCTGTTTCCTTGTAAAATTCTCTCCGAAGTGAACTAGTTCCCACTTCCACTGGAACCATTGTTTCGCAACCATATGCCAGTGAAAAGGGTATTTCTGAAGTAGAGGTTCTCAAAGTTGTTCTATATGCTCATAGAATTTCTAGGAGATCATTGGCCCAATTGCCCTTAGCTACGCCAAGTTTGGCCTTCAATGTGTGTTTTTTGTTGACAGCTTCAACTTGACCATTAGCCTGTGGTCATGCCACTGAGGTGAATTTCTTATGAATCCCCAGCTCTTTGTAAAACTGTTTGAATTCCTCATTATCGAACTGTTTCCCATTATTAGAGATGAGTGTATAAGGAATCCCATAGCGGCACACTATATTCGTAAATATGAAATCTTTAAGCTTCTTGGTAGTGATCGCAGCCAGAGGCTCTACTTCAACCCACTTAGTGAAATAATCTATTGCAATCGCTGCATATTTAACGCCACATTTACCAATTGGCATGGGTATGATGAGATCAATTCCCCACATAGAAAATGGCCAAGGACTATTCATTAGGGGTGTCCAAAAGCGGTTAACCACTTTTCTAAACTGAAAAGGTTTTTCAGTTCGGGAAAATTCCCGAACCAAAACCGAATTGGTTTGGGAAAAAACCAGTTTTTCGGTTAACCGGTTTTCCCCTTTTTTATTGGATAATTTTTTTTTTTTTTTCCTAAATTAAATTTTAAACATAAACAATACATATCCAAATAAAAATTAAATATTCATACATATCCATTAACCACTACTAACAATGTTTTTAGGGATTTAGTTTAAATTATTATTATTTTATTTAATATATAATTTTTTTTTATTTAATATATATATATATATATAAACTGGTCCAAAAAACCAGTTTTGATTTTTTCCCGAACCGTTAACCGAACTGGAAATTCAGTTTTTTGAATTTCTTGAACCGTAACCAAACCTTTTTTTAGGTTAACCAGTTTTTAGGTTCGATTCGGTTTTTGCATTTTTTTGAGTACCCCTACTAGTCATCATTGTTAACTACGGATCAGAATTCCTATCGAATGCTTGTATGTCGGGCATTCTAAATCTTGACAAGAAAGGAGCAGTCAAAACTGCTGGAGAAAAGGGAGACGCCTGAGCAACCTGCCCTTGCTCATTCTGATGAGCTCTGAGCTGATCCAAAGCTTACTGCAACTCCTCAATCTGAGGAAGCAAAGCCATATGAGGATCGCTTTCCCCAATGTGGGTTCGCTCCCCACGATTGCGATCGAGGAAAGACTGCTAATCGGACTCTTCCTCGCCTTGGTCGCAGCCTCTGACATACCTTGACACATGCTGGCTAAAGTCATGTGAAGGTACTGAATGGCTGAGAGAGTTATCCCGACCTTTGCGATGGTCAGAACCAACCTGTGTTCGGTGGGCATTTCCCTCGCGGTGAAGGTCGAAACCATCATTTCGACAATAGTGGGAATCTCCATGCCGCACACTCTTATGGGGGTGCCCATATAATGTGGCGTGAGACGACTCATGATGTGACATACCGCCAAGTTGCAAAGTTACAAGTATTCTACATGTTGAACTGGCCCTTTTGAGCCTTTTAGCCCATCGTTAGTCACCTGCTTTCCCTTATTTTTACGCGCTATAGTGCACGTGGTATGAGCTTTCGCTCATTTTCACACTTTAGCATGACCTACAGGCGTCTTTGGAGGTGGTACTACCTTATCAGAATTGGGCGGTACAACCTGATCCAAACGATCTAGCCTTCAACTAACTGTTTGAAGAGTATTATTGAACATCTCCCGATAACTCATCATAACAGGATCGAGCTGGGAGGTCGAGAGAATGTCCATCGCGGCACCTTGGGGAGTTGGAGGTACTTCAAGAGAAGAAACATCTTGTACCTGAGGGATTTCCTCGTTGTTGGTGCTAGTTCGCTCAGTTTCAAGACCACGAGTCATTTGTTCACAAGTAGAACTCATTGATCAGAGATTCTGAATGAAGAGCGAATATGAAATTAAGGGCCCTCTTTCTAGCGCCAAACTGTTGATGCGTATTTTTACACCAACGACCTCGCACATATAAAGTACTAAGAAAGTCTTAGAAATTACACGTGAATGATTATAATCAGATACAAAGACTGAATAATAAATGAGAGATATGATTTTTAAAGTGGTTCGGATGCTTAAAGCGAATCCTACGTCCACTGTTTCTTTTATATATGAGAGATTACAAGAGATCGCATATAGTGAACTGCGAACAGAGGTACAATGATTGAGTATTTAGAGAGAATATCAAGTCAGTCTCTTTCTCGTAGGTTATCTTAGGTCTGAAAATAAAGATTACAATCAGAAAGCAGGTTCAGTATCAAAATCCCGAAAATAAGAGGAGGAGTCCTTTATTTATAGTAGAGGAATTCAAGATAATGATTACAAATCTGCAAGTGGGTATGCGTCGTACAAGTCCTTCCTTGCCTCCCATTGACTGATTACTTAGGAAATATCCTCAAATTATCTGGGGCTTTGACAAGTGTGGGGCCCTCAATCACTTACAAACAAAACCTGAATCTGTCAAGTTGATGACATCCATATTCTTTATGTCATGGAGCGATATGGCAAATCCTCATTCCTAAACTCTGATCGGTGCTTGCTAACGTAGGCTAACGTCAGCCATGATTTTTTAGCCATAATAGGAATTGACTGTGATTCTATTTTGTTATTTTTGAAAAAAGAAATTATCTGATTATCAATGTGTAACTTTTCAAATCCTCGTTACTAATAAAACTGAAACGATCTCCGGAACTTGATAAGAAGAGGCATATGTAATTATTTTACAAACAATTTTATATAGGTAGCTTTTTGAAATCAGAGTATTTATTAAATGGATTTTATACACATTTACAATAAAAAAAAATGCTGGTATGCATGAATACAAATTATTAAATTCATTAATGTTAATTAATTAAAGTAAAATTACTATTATGAAATAAAAAAATTGGAAATAAAGAAAAATACAAATTTTTTTTCTCTAATAATAATAGCGGCCTTCTTCAAATCAATAATACACACAACGAAACCAAATTTGATTGGATGAGCTCTTAATTGCCACGTCGGCAATTAACAAACACGATGACATTCGCATGAGTCCCTCGGAGGCTCAGACTGTGGTCCTTATATAACAGCTACTGGACGGAAGAAAACGAGTGACTCAAAATATTCAAAAAATGAAAGGAAGCAAGGAGAAGCTATCCATGGAAAAATACATGGATTTTGTTTTCTCTCAGCAGCCATCACATCTCAAAAAGCATATTCTCAATCAGGTTTTCTTTTGATCAAAACTCATTTGAATTATAATAATTCTAACTTCGCACATATGAATGATTTAAATTTTTATTCTGTTTTTGTTACTTTTGCAGATCATCGCCATGCATGGTTTCAAGAAAATCACCAAAGGTTCCCAGGTTAGGATTAGATGATTGCTTACCAAATTAAACGACATCATTAAACTCAACCGATTAAGCTTTTGTTTAATTTGGAAGTTTCTGTTCGTTTCTTGAGAAATTACGCAGATAATTATAATTCTATTTTCTTAAGAGCCAAACAAAATATTCTCTGTTTCTTCTAATTTGTACAGAGTGTGTTAACCGATGTTGCGCGGACATTGAATCTGATGGATCCATCACGCTCCACTCTGAAAGAGAAAATCTCGCCATGCGCATCTATCACTCTGAACGAAATAACGACTGACCTAAACAACCTTGCTTGGGGCGAGTGCTGTGTCAGTTCCATCAGTGTCATAAACAACACTAACACCGACGCCGACACCGACACGAACGCCTCTCAGCTTTCAGAATCTTTTGCAGGTAACTGCCGAGATTCTTCTGCTTCTACGTCGTCGTATTTCGGATCTGAGATCGGTGAAGTAGCGACGAAAAAGGTTACCAAAAGGAAGAGATCATCGACTTGATTGAGTTTTCCTCTGTTGATTTCATTATGTTGTGGTTTTTGAGTTTTGAAATATTTTTGGTGTTTAGGCGGGAATCCTCTTAGACAATTTTAATTAGTGATTCAAATTTATGTTTCTAAATGTAGATGAAATTCTTAAACAAAGGTTAATCACTTTTGTCAATTGATGGTCACGCATGTTTTATTATTTTTTATTTTTTATTTTCGCATTGTCTTTTATCTACGTATTGATTGTTTTAATAAATGAAGTAATTAAGTACAAACTCTCACCAAATAATTTTGGGTGCCTTTGTTTTAGTATTTGGGATAATATTTTTGAAAAAGTAAAAGCTGGGTAGGAATAACGAGACAAGATTTAAAAATTAATAAAAACACCCCTCTAGGTTTGTTAATTTATTAAACACTTCTATAATAAAAAATAAAAATTACAAAAACAACCCTATTCACCCATTAAATACAGGCAACTGACCACCACCGTCGGAGGGTGGCCGGATTCACCGTATCAGTGCACGATCGGTTGGATCTGGCCGGTCGTCCACCAAGATGGCCTTTTTCAGTCAGATCCACCGTAGATCTAGCTAGAAAATGTCAGATCTACGACTAAATCTAGCAATTGACGGCCAGATCTAGTCGTGTTTAGTCGTCAACGACGACCAAAGATATGGCTGTCGTTGACGACTAGCTACGGCCAGATCTTTGGCTGTAGATCTAGCTTTTTTTGACCAGATCCACGGTGGATCTAGTAGAAAAAGGCTATATCAGCGCACTACCGGCAAGATCCAGCCGGTAGTGCGCCATTATACCAGATTTCGGCCACCTTTTGGCGGTGGTGGCTGGAATATGGCAAATGTGGGTGGGTGGGGATGTTTTTGTCAATTTCTAAATTTTGGGAGGTGTTTAGTTAAATTAACAAACCTAAGGGTTTAAAAGTAATTGAATGAAATAGAATATGATTTTCAGAATAGGGAAAAACTTGATGCGACTAAATCAACCTTAACAAGTGCACTAGTCGTGTTCAAGTAATAAAGTGATGAGTTTGAGTATCGTCCCACAGAGATCAAAACAAATATTTGTAATTACCTAAAACTACCTACACGTTATTTGAGAAAATGAAATCTTAGAGTGTAAAAGTGGCGGATTAAAAATAACTAAATTAAACAAATAAATAATGTGATGAACTTTGCAATATCAATGAAGTTAGGGTACAGATTTCCCTCTAATTATGCTTGACAACTACTCTTAATACCCGTTTGTGCTATGAATTGGTAGGATTCTTTTAAGGCCAATTATCCTTATTCAGGCATAATATTCAACTTAATACAGATCCCTATTCGGTTACTCTGAAATTAAGAAGCATAAATTTATCAATCCCTTACGACTAATTCACCCTATTCGGTTATGAATTAGATGAACCACAAATTAATCCTAGAATCTCTATTCGATTACTTCTAGTTTAATATGTTGTGCAATGTTATTCCGATAAAACAATTATGAATATGAATTAAACAATAAACCCTAACTTCTCTATTCAAAACATCATCAAGGTAATTGAATCAATCAAACATTCATAAAGCATTAAGTCTAAACTCTTGCACAAATTCATAAACATAAATTTGGTATTAAGAATAAAAATTGTTCAAAACATGATTAGGGTTCCATCCTCTCCTAACAAAAGGGATTTACTCCTTCCTAAGAATAAAGGAATAAGTAAAGAAGAAGGAAAACATATTCAGACTTGAAAAGAAACAAAAATCAAACTCTTCAATTCGATCTTTAGTCTTCAAGCCTCAAGAATTCGTCTTCTTCTCTAAAAAATATGCAAAATTCGTCTTTTGACAACTAATCTCAATTATACTTAAATACCCAAAAGAGTCCTAAGTGAAAAAAGAAAGAAAAACTAATAAAAACACCCTAATAGTTTCCGCCATAACCTTGGCCGTGACCAAATTTAAGTCACCACAACGTAGGACATGGTGCTTCCTGGTCTCTTTGTTTTCTCTTTGTTCCACCACCATGGCCATGGTGAACTAGCAAGGCATGGTCGTGGTCTTCAAGAATGTTAAGTAATCTCAACTTCTTCAAGCTTTAAGTCTCAATTTAATTCCAATACTCCAATCTACTCAATCAAAGCCTAAAAAACACAAAAGTTATCCAAGTCAATAGGTAACCATTCATATCTCAAACTTAACAAAAACAAACATCAAAACAAAGGAAACAAATGAGAAGTTAACTAAACTAACATTAAAACAACCCTAAAAACACTCAAATTATGCAACTTATCATGTATTTTCATAATTATAGGAATATGATAGTGTAAAAATATTAAAACAAATAGAGACTTTGCTTTTGACAGGGAATTTATTAAAGGCCTACATAAGGGAATACAACAATAACAAAAATCGAGGTTAATAATAAATAAAATTAATAATATTACATTTACAGACTTTATATAAAAAGTTGTTTTAAAAATTGTTTTTGTATACATACTAGAAGTAAAAGAGTAAAATTATTTTAATGAGAAATGAATAATGTTGTATGTGTTAATTATCACTGTTTTAAAACCTAACCTAGCCTGGTCGGTTTAACAGGGACCTAGGAGCTTCACCAGTTCGGGTTAACATTTTCCCTATTCACCGAAACCCCTATAATTTGGGATAATAATCGGTGAAAAATTAAAGGTTGGGATGTTGAGGCTTTTGAAGAAAAAGTGTCGGTGAGTGCAATGGTGGCGACGGAGTTGATTTTCGGTGAGTGAATAGACCAAAAATCGAAAAAAATTGGCAGCGGAAAGAGTCGACTTTCGCCAGTGATTGGCGAGGCTAACGAGGGTGGGGTAACATAGGTTTTGGTTGAGAGGAAGAAGGGAGAATTTTCAGGGTGATAGGGAGGGTTGTTGACGCCGGCATCAATGTGATTTGGCTTAGAATATCGACACCGACGTCGATCGATTTCGGCCAGATCTTGGGTAGATTTTTTTGGGAATGGGCTCGAAGGACGATTGTGATTGCATTTGGGGTGTTGCAGTCGCCAATTGATTTGTATTTGGGGTGTGTTGGCTAAATTTCAAACATATAGAGACTTAATTGTGATTTTTAGAGGTGTATTTGCTAAATTTTAAAAGTTTTGTCACTCGGTTTGACTTGCCGATTAAACCGGTCAACTTAGAACCCAAAAACTTTGTTGGGTTTCACCTCGGGTTGGTTATTAAAACATTGTTAATTACCAGTACCAGGTTGGCATGGCAATGGGCCTTGGAATTCTGAGGCTTGTCCCACCCTACCCCATATCGGGCGGGGATTCCCCGGTTTTTACGGGGATAGGAGTTTTATTCCTCGTCCCTAGGGAAGGGACAAGGACAAAGAGTGCCTGTCCCCTGCTCCACCCCATACATAATATATAAATAACCTCATACATAATATATATATGTGTACTTTACACTAACACCCCTATATATTTCATCTAATTATCCTACCTATATAAACCTATATTTTCTCAATTTCCCTAAACCTAAGTCCTAATCAATTGAATAAGAACAAACCCTAACCCTTAAGTCTTAAACTTGTCACCATTTGCCCTTAGCTGACTTCATATATTGCCGTTCGCCAAATGCCGATGTTGAACCTAAAATTGATCATGTTTCAATTGATGTTGTCCTATGTTTTCATAAGGAAAATTTAGGGAAATACCTCGACATGGAGGATTTTACCTATGGATTTGAGTATAGCTTTAAAAAAATTATGGCAATGCTTAAATGGTCTTTTTATTTGGTGTAATTGATCAAATATATAATGAGTCTGTATTTTGGACTAATCTCATTATTGAAAAAGAATTAATTATTGTGCTTACTAATACTCAAATAGTTTTTGTTATGTGTTTATTCTCATAATTAAATTGGTGTTAATGATCAATTAATGGGGTGGGACGAGCTGCCAAAATTCCCTGTGGGGAGGGGGCGGGGAGTGGGGGCCCTGCCTCATGCCTACTACCAGTCTACCAGGGAGGTAATCGAAAATTTCATAACTACAGAGGATTTTTTTGTACTTATACCGAAATTCAGGGAGGTTAGAAGAAAAACATAAAAAGTAAAACAAATAAGAGAACCGCCAAAAGGAATTTGAGTTCCCCGCCCCGCTCGAAACCATTGCCATGGCGCCAAATTGAAAGCAATAAAAACATTTCAATGTTGCACAATACAAATTTTCCAAATCTCTCTTACTTTCTCATTCTCTCCGGATCCATCGATTAACTTCAAATGGAGACCTCTAGATCTCAATCGTTTTTCCAAGATATCAGATGCAGAGAGCTCAACGGATTTAAAGGTCCCTCTCTCCCCTTCTCTGTAGACACATTAATTTCATTTACATAATTTTATTATTCTATATTGA